GTATTACGGCTTGGTAGCGCTAGCCACCGCACGGTCTAAAGGGTACAGCTATATTCATCCATCCATCCACGTTGTTACTTGTTGGCACGTTTTTGACCACGGAGGTAGGGTAGCCTGGTAGGTGTTCTGTGGGGTGGCTAGAATGGGGAAGTGTGATCAAGGAGCATGGTCAAGGAGGATTAAAGAAAGACTGCTGGAGTGGAAGCTCGCGCAGTGCCTTGCCAGCAGAAGTGAAGCCACCTTTTGCCACTGCAAGATGGCGGAAACGTGGTCTTCTATGATAGTTCCCACTTAAATATCAAGTGGCTTTGATATGTTATGTGAATGTTATGTTAGTTCTGTATTAAAAGATAGTTGATTCCCGACGAAATAACACACAGAAACTAGTATAATGATTTAATCTTAAAGAACTTCGCCTCCAATTAGAGGCTCACTAAGGAAAACTAGTAACGCTAAGACGCACTTGGAGCACTATGGGACCTCGAAAAAGTTCTCACAATAGACTCGGTGGGCGTACGAGGGGAACGCTTCATTTTAAATCGCTGAACGGTGATAATTTATTGTGACCCTAGTAAGATGGCCGCCACAACCACCATCTTTCCAGAGGAACAGCTTCACTTCTGCGCGATCATTTCCACTCAGAAGTGTGGCAGCTTGGGCTAGTTGGTATGACATGACGATAGTTGTAGCGCGAGAACAAAACGACCACACAGAGACAAGAAGGACACAAAAACACGAGCGCTAACTTCCAACTAAGTTTATTGCGCAGAGCACGAAAATATATAGAGGAGACAGTAACCATGTGATAAAAACTATATGGCACAAAGAGCAGAACATGAGTAAGAGAAAAACAAAAACGCAAAAACAAAAGCGCTGAAAAACGGCAAAGAAAAATCTATAAGAAAACGAAACAGCAAGGTAAAGATAAAAACTCCCAAGCATTTCCCTGAGGGTGAACATGGTTAAGTGCGAATACACGGGGTGATGCTATGAGGGGTATTTATTAATTCGCACTATTAAATTTATTAATCACACTATGGTGCCTTTATGGTGTAATGGTTCCTGGGAATCGCAATTTGATCACACGGGGGAGTTTACGTTAACTCACTGGCGAATGCCAACGGATTTTAACTTTACTCCCCCTCACGACCCGCTCTCGACGGGAGACTGAGAGAGAAGGCCGGCGCGCGAGAGAGAGGGGTGCGCGCGCAGCTGCAGCGAGCGAGGAGAGCGGAGGAGCGAGCGAAGGGGGAGGGGGTATAAGGCGCGTTACTGACACCGATATCAGCGTCGCGTCCGTGGCTTATTCGGTAGAGCGTCGCGCTGCGGCCCGCCAAGTCCTCTTTCAAGATAGAGAGAAGACTGCGGACGCCGCCGACGGCGGTGGATGGTTTGGGGTCGCTTATAAAGTGCATTCACACTTAATATAACTACCTGCCCGCACCGGAACCTTCGAGGAACCTGAGTTCCTTCTCGGACAGAGCCACGGGGGGCTTGCTAATACAAGGCACCTGTTCGCGTGCCATCTGCGCGGCCTCGACAACGACTCGGGTGCGTTCATCTCTGTACTTGTACAGCGTCGCTGTGTCCTCGAAGAGGGGAACACACTTGCACTCAGTGCAGTGCTGGGCAAGAAAACCATCTTTCCCGTTTCTAACATTGTTAGCGTGTTCTCTAGCCGATCGTTCAGACACCTTCCGGTCGTTCCGACATAACAAACACCGCATGAAAGGGGGGTCCTATAGACAACTGCCCGGGAGCAGGCCGCATACTTGTTTCTATGTTGAACTCTGCATTCCGTTGATGACTGCGTTTTCGGGGGGTTTGTATATATGGTGAGGCTGATTAATTTGAACGGTGCCGAGAACAGGACACGAACTCCAACACGTTTTCCGATTTTCCTGAGCCTGTGTGATATCTGGATGTTTGTATGGAATCACGGCTATCCTTTCACGTTCTGTATCCGTGTTGCTCGGATTCTGTCGCTTCCTCTGCTCTGCCTTATTAGTCCGCAGGATCGTCTCAGCAACGGACGCGATAAACGCCTCGGGGAAACCTGAAGCCTTAAGCCGGGAAACTTGAGCTTTGAAGCTCGCGGAGATATTGTGGGCGCACGACCTATTTAAGGCATTCTCAAGGCTGTTTCGTGCTACGCCTCGCTTAACTAACTTGCTGTGAGCGGAAGAAAAGGGAAGTAGAGGTTTCTGCGCACGTGGTTCATAACACCAACAGATGTGCTGTGAGCTAAAAACCAGTTTTAAATCCAAAAAGCGTAACTTTTCATTCTCGGGCATTTCATGTGTCAACACAAGAGGCTTTCAACAATCTTCAAACACACCTATAGTTTGAGTCGCAAACGAGTGGAACATAGAAGAATTACAATTTAAAAGAACCAAGAAATCATCCACGTATCTGAATATTTTGACGACATGCGAGCCTTCTAACTTTTTCCTGCAGTTTTTTGCCCATTTTTTGCCAATAGAAGATCACTGAGTAGAGGTGCTATGCATGAGCCAATTGAAACACCATTTTTCTGTAGATAAATGCAATCATTTCATTGAACGAAAGTAGACGTAAGGTACAGCAAAACCAGGTCAAGAAAGTCTCGCGAACTAATGCCAGTTTTTAATTGGAAGTTCAATTCGTCCGAAAATTTCTGTTATCCCTTATACATTCTAATACCTCATCGTGAGGCAGAGAATAGTATAGATCCTTTATGTCAATTGAAAAACCGAAAAGATTAGATTGATTTGACTGTTTGAAAAATTCTATCAGAGCCTGCGAGTTTTTGATCACAAATGGGTCATCAATCTTTAGACACTTTAGATGGTTCTGAATAAACAAGCCGAGTTGCTTTTGCCACGTACCACTTTCTGTCACAATGACACGGAAGGGCATGTCAACCTTATGTGTTTTAGCAGAAAAAACATGCTGAGACCATTTTTGTCACTTTTGCTAATGTGCTGCGCTAACTGTTTTAACTCTAGTTTACGACACATTTCCTTGGCGTGCGTTTTTACCAGCATCAGCCTTCTGGTGCGGAAGACGACCAAGTTTCGTAGACACAATGAACTTTGTGTCGTACCGTCAGATAAGGAGGGTGGTTTCGCCGTTCTTCCTAATTGCTTGTACCTGGAAAAGGCGGTCACAGCTATCGAATCTGTTTTCAAATGTTGTACCGACATTCGTCTAGATAGAGTAAAAACGCAGGCCAAAGAAATGTGTCGTAAACTAGAGTTAAAACAGTTAGCGCAGCACATTAGCAAAAGTTACAAAAATGGTCTCAGCATGTTTTTTTCTGCCAAAACACATAAGGTTGACATGCCCTTCCGTGTCATTGTGACAGAAAGTGGTAAGTGGCAAAAGCAACTCGGCTTGTTTATTCAGACCCATCTAAAGTGTCTAAAGATTGATGACCCATTTGTGATCAAAAACTCGCAGGCTCTGATAGAATTTTTTAAACAGTCAAATCAATCTAATCTTTTCGGTTTTTCAATTGACATAAAGGATCTATACTACTCTCTGCCTCACGATGAGGTATTAGAATGTATAAGGGATAACATAGAAATTTTCGGGGAATTGAACTTCCAATTAAAAACTGGCATTAGTTCGCGAGATTTTCTTGACCTGGTATTGCTGTACCTTACGACTACTTTCTTTCAATGGAATGATTGCATTTATCTGCAGAAAAAGGGTGTTTCAATTGGCTCATGCACAGCACCTCTACTCAGTGATCTTCTATTGGCAAAAATGGGCAAAAAACTACAGGAAAAGTTAGAAGGCTCGTATGTCGTCAAAATATTCAGATACGTGGATGATTTCTTGGTTCTTTTAAATTGTCATTCTTCTATGTTCCACTCGTTTGTGACTCAAACTATAGGTGTGTTCGAAGATTGTTGAAAGCCTCTTGTGTTGACACATGAAATGCCCGAGAATGAAAAGTTACGCTTTTTGGATTTAAAACTGGTTTTTAGCTCACAGCACATGTGTTGGTGTTATGAACCACGTGCGTAGAAACCTCTACTTCCCTTTTCTTCCGCTCACAGCAAGTTAGTTAAGCGAGGCATAGCACGAAACTGCCTTGAGAATGCCTTGAATAGGTCGTGCGCCCACAATATCTCTGCGAGCTTCAAAGCTCAAGTTTCCCGGCTTAAGGCTTCAGGTTTCCCCGAGGCGTTTATCGCGTCCGTTGCTGAGACGATCCTGCGGACTAATAAGGCAGAGCAGAGGAAGCCACAGAATCCGAGCAACACGGATACAGAACGTGAAAGGATAACCGTGATTCCATACAAACACCAGATATCACACAGGCTCAAGAAAATCGAAAAACGTGTTGGAGTTCGTGTCCTGTTCTCGGCACCGTTCAAATTAATCAGCCTCACCAAGTATACAAACCCCCTGAAAACGCAGTCATCAACGGAATGCAGAGTTCAACATAGAAACAGGTATGTGGCCTGCTCCCGGGAAGTTGTCTATATGTCCTCCCTTTCATGCAGTGCTTGTTATGTCGGAACGACCGGAAGGTGTCTGAACGATCGGCTGAGAGAACACGCTAACAATGTTAGAAACGGGAAAGGTGGTTTTCTTGCTCAGCACTGCACTGAGTGCAATTGTGTTCCCCTCTTCAAGGACACAGCGACGCTGTACAAGTACAGAGATGAACGCACCCGAGTCATTGTCGAGGCCGCGCAGATGGCACGCGAACAGGTGCCTTCTATTAGCAAGCCCCCCGTGGCTTTGTCCGAGAAGGAACTCAGGTTCGTCGAAGGTTTCGGTGCGGGCAGGTAGTTATATTATCTTTACCTTGCTGTTTCGTTTTCTTATAGATTTTTCTTTGCCATTTTTCAGCGCTTTTGTTTTTGTGTTTTTTGTTTTTGTTTTTCTCTAACTCATGTTCTGCTCTTTGTGCCATATGGTTTTTTATCACACGGTTACTGTCTCCTCTATATATTTTCGTGCTCTGCGCAATAAACTCAGTTGGAAGTTAGCGCTCGTGTCTTTCGTGTCCTTCTTGTCTCTGTGTCGTCGTTTTGTTCTCGCGCTATAACTATCGTCATTTCCACTCAGCCATTTTTAAAATCCTCTTTGGGTACCTTTCCTTTTTCCGTGTCCTTGGGTGTGATGACTGCGGCGGCGGCCTCTTGCCTAGCGAGGCCCCTCTGCGCGTTCTCGCCGCTGGAGGGAAATTTGGCGCGTCAGTCTGGGGTGCTGTTGTCATGTGCCGACTGTGAGCATGTGTTGCTCGTGTCTCGTAGGTGACGGAGCAGCGCAAGTTAGCTGTCGCTGTTGGCGAAGTACGGCCTGCTTTTTCTATCGCTTCCCGATTTCTTCAAGGAGATGATGTCAGTGGTTGTCGTCGATTTTTGAATCGCTCTGAAGAATGCCGTCGACGGCGAAAAAAAAACGCAGAGGTGGTGCTTTGTGCCAGGTTGCGACGCCAGCTACAAGTCTTGCGGTGAAAGACTGCCTCTCTTTCGTGCACCTGCCCGTGAGGATGAATTTGAAAACTGGGCACGTGCCATACCAAGGGCCGACAAGCTACGGCAAGAGAATTCTGCAGTTTGCGAAAGGCATTTTAACCCAAGGTACGCGTATGGAATTCGTACATGTTTAAGCATATAGAAATACAAGTTAACACACTGACCCGGTGTGGCACACGGGTCATGAGCAGCAGAAGTGCAGTGGAAAGAGCCAGACTAATTCAGGTGATCGGTTGTTCTTGTACTTACATTGGCATGTTGCTCCACGTGGGCGCGTTTTGCGTTCTGCCTCCATCGACCTGCGGCACCTAACGCTGCAGCACGTCCATTAATTATTGTCTCATTGCTTGTAAATCCAAAGTGTCTTCATTACAGAGGCTACGCTAACTTTTTATTATGTTTCAGGTTTATCATGAGACACTACGTGCACATTGTGAATGGAAAGGAGGTCCATATACCACGCGATGTGCCTGCCCTTAAGGAGAGTGCTATTCGAACAATTTTCCCGAACCTTCCAAAGTATATGACGAAAACTCTGCCAAGAGAGAGGAAGAGAAGAATGGGACAGGGCTCTTCCGAGCCTGCAAAGAAGAGCCGCGAAGACATTGATGATTCAGAACTCCGGCGCAGTTCATTATCATAATCAAGTATGCTTGTGCATTTTCAGTCCTGTACATTGAAATACAAAGCATATAATCCAAAGTATCAATTTTTATAATGTACATGTATATATGCAGGTGCATAAGCTTTTACAGCTTGGCGAAAAGCCCCAAGGGAGCATACGTATCTCCTGGACTTTTGGAGGCCCTGCGGTCCGAGGACCATCTGCTGTCTGAAAATGAAGAACCAGCTTGTGACGACGTTACTGTTGTGTTCTGGGTTTTTGGTTTCGGAATGACATGTGAGGATGCCAGGGGGCGCCGCTCTGGCATCCAGGATTTCAAGGCGACTGTAAAATACAAGCAGTGTGTGTTGGGTAACCGTGGAGTGCGGTTGTTGTTCTTCTCTTCGGCGCTTCGCGCCAACCTGCGTGTTCGGGCTGGTTCGGCTTGCTTGCTTGCTTGCTTGTTCCTTTTCTTTTGTGGCTCTCACCCACTAAGGGGGATTGGCAAGAAGCCAGTGGTTAATGCAAGTCAATACCTTTAGATTTTTAGACTAGGGGAATATGATTACTGTGTTTCGACTGTGAAATTAGTTTGGTGCAATGTAAAAAAAAGAAAAAAAAGAAAAAAGTGGGGGAGAGAAATAATAGAATTTGTTGATTCTCTGAGCTGGAATCGTTATATGAAATTTTTCTCAAAGTTGAATCATTGCAGTGTATCAGCTAAATAATCAGTGGTAGTGTGGCTAGTAAAATTCCAGAGCTGATCGCTGACTCAGCAAGGTAATCTTTTTTGTGTTATATATGAATTCGCATAGAGCTTCGCAGATGTTCCTGTCGCTGTGTCCTAATGAAGTGGCTCCAAAAGACAAAATATTGGGAGTATTAGGTGATATTCCTAGTTTTTTTTAATAAAATTTCGAAGCAGTTTTTTTTTGATTTTTGAAATGGTGACATGTGATAAGAAAATGGTCGATATGTTCAGGTTCGTTACAGCTTGAGCACAGAGGGGATGGCACCAGACCAGACCTGTTTAAGTAGAAATTAAAAGGGGGTACACGGCAACGTAATTTTGTTATGAAGACTTCCAATTTACGCGTGGGACACCATTTATTATTCCGTGTGAAGTGCAGGTGCGAGAAATCTGGATTCGGTATCATGATTTTTGATGAGTCTTCAAGAAGGGAAAGTTTTCTAAACCTCGCTGCTGTTAGATAAGCTGTAGGAGGCATGATTGGCACAATCGGAAGATCAAGAGATGTTCGCGCAAGTGTGTCAACCATCTCGTTTATAAATATACTACGATGGCCTGGCACCAAAATCATTCGCACTAGACGAATGTTTGCTGGGATTAATGATTTAAAAGTTTCTAGTACTGCTGATGTCGACGACGATGATAAAAATGAACATACGGAATACGAGTCAGACACTATCACAGCTGTCGAATGAGTCGCAGGAAGTTTACGAATAGCTAGTATAACGGCCATTAATTCCGCTTCAAATATTGGTGTATAATCTGGGAGGCGTAATGAAAATGACCAGAATAATGAGAGAGAAAAAATACCCACACCTGCCTTCTCGCCACTCTTAGATGCATCCGTTGCAATTACTATATTAGTACCTAATTGAGACAGGTGTTGTTCTAATAAACCAGTCAAATATTTATAGGGCAAGTGTTTAGCGTTCATGGGGAAGATATTGTCAAATTTTATTTGCACTTGGCTGATTGGTTTGACAGATGGTGTGATCTCGAATATATTAACATTTAAAGCATCTAGAAGTGTTTGAACATATAGCACTTGGGGTTTATGTACACGGAACCAATGCTCATTGAAAAAGACACCAGGCTCGGCAAAGAATACAAACTGTCGCCTTCTTAAAGTGGATTCAGAAAATTTAAAATAGGTTTTTACTGTTAAAATACGAAATCTGCAAGCAAGGGTGGGTATCCGAGCTTCTTGATACAAAACATTGTTAGCTGTGAATTTTCGCACACCTAAACAACTACGTAGAGCTTCCCGCTCTAAGAGAATCAGGGGGTTTACTTTGTATGCTGGTCCACCAGAGAATAGTATACACATAGTACACATCCGAATTCAAGAATCGGACGAACGTACATGCGATAAATCATGATCAGCGTATCTCTGCGAAGACCGGAACGGAGGCGGCCAAGCCTACCTATCATTCCAACAGCGCGTGTAGCCTTAATTTTAATATATTCAATGTGGTCACGCCAGCTCATTTTTTGATCGTACAGTACACCTAGATATTTAATACAGTTAACCTGGGGAATTATTTCTTGATGGTACTCAAGAGAAATAGTAACTGGTGCGTCCAATAGAAAAACTATTATAGCACTTTTAGTTACGTTCAGGTTGATATGAATTTTCTGAAACCAGGTTTCCAATGTTGCCAAATAATACTGTAAAGTCGAATGTAGTAAATAAATATCGCTGTCAGATGCAAAGAACGCGATATCATCTGCATATACATGTACTTGTACCTTATCACTCAGTGGTATTGAACTTAACAAAATGTTAAATAGCACAGGCGATAGAACAGAGCCTTGAGGAACACCTCTCGTTTGGCTATACTTCGGCGTGGAAACACCTCGTTGGAAGCAATAAAATTTTCTGTCTTTTAAAAATTCGTATATCCGATTTTTTATGTACTGCGGTAACGTAAGCTCTTTTAGGACATTGATAAGAATAGGATGTTCAACACTGTCATATGCCTTGGCTAAATCAAGGGTTACTAGGGCCGCATATTGTCGTCTGTGCCGAGCAAGCTTTATACGAGCCTCTAAATCAACATGCGCCCACCATATAGAGTAACCTGGTCTAAATCCAATCTGGCACGCACTGAGTATCGCATTATCTGTTATGAACTTTATGTAAAGTATTCTTTCTATTAACTTAACTACGTGTGATGTTAAAGCGATTGGCCTAATGTTATCTATCTGCATTCCTAGTCCCTGTTTTTCAAGAAGCGGTATTATTTTTGCAAGACTCCAGTCAGGAGGTTTCCAACTATTTTCAAGTAAATAGTTGACAATGTTAAGGAGGTCTTCAGGAGAGATGTCGAATAATATTTTTAACATTTCTGAAGTGACGCCATCTGCTCCAGGACCTGTGTTTGGCAGAATACGAACGACGTGCGCAAGTTCATCCCTAATTACTTCAATAAAATCATTTCCGAATGACGGTTTTGCACACCTTTGATTTGTGATGTAAATCTCTTCTCCAATCCTAATGCGATTTCAGTTAATGTATCTTCCAACTCAGTTGGAGAAAAAATAACTGAGTCAATATTTACGTGCGCTGTAATAGCTTTACGATTACGGAGAAATCTGAATAGAGCTTTCTTGTTGCCGCTCTTGGATAGATAGCTGTACCATTTTTCTTCATAATCGTCCTTCGCTAATGAAACTGTTCTCTTAAAGGTAGCTTTAGCAAATAAATAATTTCTCCAATTAGTCGGACATTTGTTTGGTAGGAGTTTTTTCCATGCAGCATTGCGGCGTCTATAATCTCTGGCGCAATCCGCATTCCACCAGGCAGATATGATTTTTCCCTTTGTTGAAGATATAGTTAACTGTGATTTTTTGATTGTACACTTTAGGGTGGAACAAAGGCTCATAGCTTTCATATTTGCTTCCATATTGGGCAAGGAAGACAGCGTTGACTGTAAGTTCTTTTTGAATTTAGAGTAGTTTACGAAACTTTGCACCTGGCGATCTACCGTCACTAAAGGAATGCTGACTTCAAATACCAGGGGGCAGTGATCACTACTTGTAGCGGTATCGAGAACAGTCCAAGATGATATTGTCACACTTGAGCTTGCAAATGTCAAATCTAAGATGGACCTCGAATTACATCGAACGAATGTCGGAACTTTGGAGTTCCAACAAATAAGGTTATTCCGATTAGTCCAGTCCCACAACTGTTTTCCTGATGAATCAGTGTGGAATCCCTATGAAACGTGATGGGAATTGAAGTCTCCCGCAAATAGTATACTGTTTTGGCAAAAACTCCCAGTCACGTCAAGGGCTCTTTTATCTTGTATTCCAGCCGGAAAGTAGTTGTTGACTATAGATAGTGGTGCACATCCAGGAAAGTGAATTTCCAGAACCAATACTTCATAATCTTGTGATATTTGTTGGTAAACTAAGTGTGCTTTATGACAAATTTTGGATGAAATGAAAAGCATTAATCCTCCACCACGTGAGTCTTGGTCCAGTCGAAAGCACTGATAGTTTTTTAGATAGAAGTTTTGATCAGCAGACAGCCAAGTTTTTTGTAAAATTATGACGTCTGGAGATTGTTGAGAAATTAGGTATAATAAGTCTGTAGTTGCAGAGAGAATTGAACGGCAGTTCCACTGAAGTACTCGAAGACACCCTATGATGATAAGCAAGCAGTAGCAACTGCTTGATCTAAAATACTATCCTTTAAGAAGTCCGCTTTAGTTCTAGGTTCCTTCACACTCTTTTTTGTTTTTGGATGAGAAGAATTATTAAGTTTGCTAGTGGGTGATCTGGTGCGTTTCAAAAGGCGAGCATCCATATTGCCGCCAGCACGTAGTGGGTTGACAGCAAGAGCGGCTCAAAATCTAGAGGAAAAAAGAAGATCGCGTTCTTCTTTTGCTAGATCACCTGATCACCTGATCAAAATTATAGAGAGAGTTCTCAATAATAGAATAAAAGTTTGGATGGCTGACAAGCTAATATTGAAACCATTTCAAATAGGTTTTCGTAGCGAATGCTCAATTTGGTGTGCTCATGCCGACTTAGAGAGCCGAATACAGCTTGCCCGAAAAAGACGACAATACGCGGTACTAGTAACACTAGACATAGCTAAAGCTTATGATAGCGTTGAGCACTCAATTTTATTGAATTCTTTACACGAATGTGACTTTCCGCGTTATATTGTTGATTGGGTAGCAGAGTTTCTAAAATCGAGAGAATTTTATTGTGCAAAGGATGGATGTCACTCATCTAAATTCAAACAGCAACGTGGAGTACCTCAAGGGGCGGTCCTATCTCCGCTGTTATTCAATGTGTTGATGAGCTCAATTCCCATTGAACGAGATATCACTGTCTACATTTATGCAGACGACATTGCATTTTCGTTGCAGATAGTGACATTTATTCTTTGCATC